CAGAGAGAAAAGACACCAAAAAATAATGAACAGAGGCACAAGGACAGGTGGGACAATGCCAAAATGTCTAACATTTGTGTCAGCATTCCAAGTAGAACAGAGAAAGAGTGCAATGCAGAAAAAAAAAAAATGTGAAGAAATAATGGCAAAAATCATCTCAAATTTGGCAAAAGAAAATAGTGAACCCTAACAAGATAAACCCAAAGAAATCCACGCCCAGATACATAATAATCAAGCTGCTAAAAAACTACACACAAAGAAAAAGTCTTGAAAGCACCCAGAGAAAAAAATAATGTGTTACTTTCAGGGAAACAGCAATTTAAATGACTGAAACTTTCTCATCAGAAACCAAGGAAGGCAAAAGGAAGTGGTTTGCTTGAGTGGGGTTGTAGTTGATAAACTAAAATGCATCTCACAGATCCTCATATTATTAATAAGAACCCATCTATTTTTGACAATTATTTATGCCTATTATTAAACTACTAATAATTTGGAAACCCTATGGGGCAGTTCTACTCTGTCCCATAGGGTCACTATGAGTCAGAATCGACTTGACAGCAACGGGTTTTTATTTTAGTTTATTATTAAATTGCTACCTAAAACGGATTACTAACAGAGATGCTACTGACTATCTGTAAAACGTTGAAAAAGTCTCTTTCCCTTTCTGAGCCTCACCTGTAAGATAGAGTACCTGATCAGATGCTCTCTAAGGTCCCACCCAATGCTAATACACCATGACTTTATGGATTATCTCTAAAGAGTGTCAAGAGGCAGAGTTACCAAGGAGCTAATGATGTTTCAAGTTGAGGGCCCCTCACTCGCCTGGTGACCATGTACATTCGTAACATTTCTAAATATAAGATACTTACCCACAAACGGTTACGACTACTCTGGCTTCCCTTTATGTTGGGTCTTGTTTCTGTGTTCTTTTCCTTAAAAAGGATCCCCAAAGTTATATAAGCTTCAACACTTACAAAGCCTGGATCTGCCCTTGTCATATACAGACAGTTATAACAAATATGACAGACTAGAGATTTGTTTCTCAACCATGTATAAAAAACATCAGGTATTTTATTGGGAATTAATTAACAAGGTTTTATCTTAGGCCTTCAGGAAAAGAAACACCCACTTTTCTTTCAAGCTTAATGTCCCTTCTTCAGGGCTTCTTTGAGTCCCTAAGACTTGATGTTTACTAATACCTACAAGCTTCATGAGAACAGGGACCATCCATGCCTTTTCTATTTACTAATGTGCCCCAGCACCTATTACAACACCTGCACATAGTAGGTGCTCAATAAATGCCTCCGAATTAATTCATTGCTTAGTTTATGAACGTGTATTATACTTCTATATTTTTAAAACCCATGTTTTTCCATAAAGAGTTTGAGACTGAGTGCCTACTAAGGGCCAGGCACCGAAAGTTAGAAGCTCATTTAGAAGAAAATTAAGATTGTCTTATCAATTGATTTGCGTACACAGAATATTAAGTGCTTGTTACTGTGATTAACACTGAGTCAGCAGTGGAAATGTAAGCTGAAACTCATTTCCTGGAGAAAAAACAATGCTGAAATTATGTGAAGCCCTTCTTCTCTTCTTGCAATACACTACACCTTATTTACAAGGGACTGGACCAGCCAGAGTTAAGACTTTGATGACTAGTATGGGCCCTCTTCTTCCCATAACTAAGGACAGGCAGATTCTCCAATGGACCACTTTGAAAAATATTTAAATAAAATGTTCCTCCTCCAAGGTCAGACCTTTTCTATTTCTCTGAACTATGACTATAGAGACCAGAGTATGGACCTCTTAAGGGTAGTGCCAGTTCTTTAAATGTTTGCCTTATTTTGCCACATCCCATGGTGTAGGAGCCATTTTTCTTTCCTGCTCCCATCTTCCGGTTCCAACTGCTTCCCTAAGGATTTTCTGTAATGTAGCAGGAGTAGCAGAATCAGCAGCTGGGGAGAGGTCTAGTTACAGGAGAAGAAAGACAATAGAGTTCAAAGGACAGGGACAGAGAATGTCGATGAGACTGGCAAAGGAGAGCAAAACAAAAGGAAAGGGAAGTAAGAATAGCAAGTGATGAGAATTACATAAACTACTTACATAATCTCATAAACCAGGTATTTCTAAAAGGAAATGTTGATAGTGGAAGGTGCAACTACTTTGGAACAAAGAGCATTGTGCGGTCGTATTATGAATACCCACCAGAAAAAGTAGACACTTGGGGAGAGAAGGGCAGGCAATTCCTCTGTCCTTCGGTGGCTCTTTGTGATTGTTTTTTGTTTTTGTTCTTTAATCAACCACAACTAGCTGCCATTGGCCGCCATCCTTGTCCACTGAGCAGTAAAGGAATGCAGGTGCTGTGAGATGGGCTGGGGACTGCCAATGTGGCATGCCAGGACAGGTTTTCATTTTCCTTTCTTCAAGCTCTGTGGGTGCACCGTACCTCAAATTCCCAGCTGCACTCTGGATAATGAGAAAAATTATTGGTCTGACCTGGTCGTTTAATTTTTTTCCCCACTCATAGCGTGAGCTTTCGTTAGCTTTCATTTATCATTAAGATAAAAATCAAAGAGTGAGAATGAAACACCTCTTGATTTATTATCTGACTGAAAATGGGAACTGGAGAGTTGTAGGGCTGGATGAAGGCAGGGCCAGCCGATGAGTGAGCCACTGCAGGAGACCACTGTCAGCGTGCAGCAACTGGGCTCTTTCTCATCCCTCTTGAAGACAATAAGGAGCAATATAGCATCCAGAAATATTTTGAATCTCCACATTCTGGCCTCATTGATGTAAAATATGACACCTTCCACAAGTAAAGATAACAGGTTTCAAACCACATTGAGTTTTTCTCTTTTCAAGCATTAGGGTTGGATTTGCACTAGTCCTTTCAAAACCACTTCCCAGGTCTCAATTATGTGGCTGCCCCCATAGACTCTACTCTAGTAATCCACTGCTATTTGTCAGGCACATGTAGGTGTTCAACAAATGAATGGAACGGGTGCATGCATGCATGGTGAAATGGTAGGTGCCTGCATGCATGGTGAATGGTGGGTGCCTGCATGGTGGAATGGTGGGTGCCTGCATGGTGAAATGATGGGTGTATGCGTGGTGAAATGGTGGTGCGTGCGTGGTGAAATGGTGGTGCATGCATGGTGAAATAGCAGATGCATGCCTGGTGAAATGGTAGGTGCCTGCATGCATGGTGAATGGTGGTGCTTGCATGGTGAAATGGTGGTGCATGCATGGTGAAATGGTGAATGAATGTGTGCATTGTGAAATGGACTGGCTGGCCTTAATTTGTATGTTTGTGAGCATTTTTAAGAATCCCCTATCTCACTCCAAAAAAGGAATAAAGCAATTTTCATTTGCGTGCTGACACTCCTGAATCAGGCAAGAGAACATCATCGCTGCCCGTACAGCTTATAACGGGTTGTATACGACACAAAAGCAGTCATTGTGTGGTCACACAGCTTCCAGGGAACAGAGGCCAGCACGTCCTTCACAGCCTTACACTGCCCTTTATCCTATGTGGGGCTGTAATGCATATTGGTTCCATCATAAAATGCACCTGCCCCCCAGGCTTCCAAGGCTGGAATTACAGGAGAATCTTCCTATGGAAAGAGAGAGCTGGATGTTATTTCTCCAACTCTTGTCCCCTGAGTTGTACCACCCACCTGAGAATTACTCACTTTTTATTATCAGATATGCACCCAAGGGACAAAAGAACAATAAGCCTATTTGGGTACACTCATTTAGACCCTCAGCCAGGAGCAGCATGGCACAGGGAGCCAGAGCTCAGCATTGCAGATGGAAGGAATTGGGTTTGAATTGCAGTTCTCCAGATTATGAGTTGTGTGGACTTGAGCAAATCATTTAACTGAGTGATTCTCAGTTTCCTCATCTATAAAATGCGAAGACTACAGTGCTTACTTCACAGTTTTGGTAAGGCTTAATAAATTAATAATATAAGTGCTTAACGGCGTACCTAGCATAAAATAAGTATTTAATAAATATCACTTTCTTAAAAGAGATACACTAGAAATAGTAACGGGTTGGGGGAAGGGTGGTCATGCGTATCATTACAGGAGTTGAGATAGACCAAATCTGCAAGCTGAACTTGTACTGATCAGCCAGCCTGGAGGAAGCTCAGGAATGAACAGAAATACCAACAGGTGATTAGATGAGGCTCTCTAGGGAGACTGGAATCCCTGGGTGGGGCAAACCGTTAAAGTGCTCAAAACCCGTTGCCATCAAGTTGATTCTGACTCATAGCAACCCTATAAGATAGAGTAAAACTGCCCCACAGGATTTCCAAGGAGTGACTGGCAGATTCAAACTGCTGACCTTTTGATTAGCAGCCAAGCTCTTAACCACTGTGCCACCAGGGCTCCTACAATGCTCAGCTACTAACCAAAAGGTTGGAGGTTCAAGTCCACTCAGAAGCACCTCAAAAGAAAGGTCTGGCAATCTGCTTCTGAAAAATCAGCCATTGGAAACTCTATGGAGCACAAATCTACTCTGACACACATAGGGTAGCCATGAGTCTGAATCGACCTGACGGCAACTGGTTGGTTGGTAGGGAGACTAGGAGCTCTCAAAGAATCCTTTTTTTCTGCTCCTCTGATCCTTCAACTCCTTCCCTAATATCTTGGGTAAAGTTTCTCTCTTTGGTGATATGTATATTCTACCTTTTTCTCACACCTACGGGAAGGTTTAGTAACTTATGTTTTGAAAATATCTTGAGATCCCTGAATCCAAAGAATTATTGGTCGTGTTAATATAGTGTTAAGTAAATAGAAAACCCAGCAAGGAGAGGTCCATGGTGAAAGACTACAGAAATTCACTGGAAGCAAATTATTCCCATCAAGGGATGGTCTGGACGACTTCTGACTGTACAATAATGCTGCTTTCATGATTTTAGCCAATCAGACTCTCATGTTGATAGTGTTGAATTGAACTCGCTAACTTCAATTATTTTCTCAATTTTAATTATTCAGGTGCATCTTCCCAGAACCTGGAGAAATTTATAGAAAGGTAAGCATTTGGAAGATGGATATAAGAAGTCGTTTTAAATTTCGTTTTTGTTTTGAAAAATAAATGGAAACTTTCTACTGTTATCCCACAATCACTTTCAGTGAACATCAATTGCTTATTAGTCACTATCCAAACACTGGGATGCCACTTCTTGGGCCAGTGAGTCTGGGAAGTTATTAATTTGCATATGTCCTTTAAAAAGGATCGTACAAAATAGATAAAACTTAGGTCTGACAGAAGTTAAGTAAAAAAAGGCAAAAGACAGCATGTCATATTCCTGTTTTACAAGCAAGAAAAACAATCTTGTGCTCATTTTGGGCTTAAAATTCAGAAGTGAGACCCTGGGTTCCCAAAGTGGTGACTTTGCCTCTTCAGAGTCGACTGCAGGCCCGTCGCTGTCAGGATGTCCTGCAAATCTGGACCCAATAACCCAGGTAACTCGCATGTCCTGATTGATGTCAAATGCTGTGAAAGATGCTAAGAAGATGACAGATTGTCTGTCTTCCAGGGGCTTCAATCCACTCTTCAATTCTATGCATTTATATGGCCTTTCCCTAATGAGTAAGTGCTTAAAGACTGCAGAGAAGAAGGGGAAAATGGGAATGGTGATTGATTATCACCAGTAATAGTAAAAATACCAAACGTTTACCATGAGGGTGGTAAATGTTGTGGAACCAGCCTGCAATGCTGGTTACAAAGCTAGTTTCCAAGTGTTCAGCATTTAAATCTCACCTTTGGCTTTGCAGTTTGTCTAGGAACCAACTGTTGGACTACCCAGCCATTGTCATATATGCCATGATTGGAAATGATGTCTGCAATGGGTGAGTTAATGGAGAAAGATTTTGAATTCTTCGACTCTGGGTTTCCCCACTCTTCCCTACACTACTCCACACCAACTCCACTCCATTGTAGTCGCCTGCTATTGAATTAATTTTTTCTGTGTTAGAAGCAAGCCCTAGACACGTATGACATCAACAGAACAAACCTGTGAAGCTTCTTGAAACTATCTGATCCATCAGTCCACAACTCGGTTGTCACAACAAATGGATGCCATGATCAGTTATGAGTTGTATCACAAGAAATATGTTACTACTAACCAAGACTCCAAGATTGAGGATCATGAAATTTTAAATAAAGAAGGCAGAATCATGATTATCCCCAAAGAATACCTTCCTTATTCATATTCTGATATGCTTCCTTGTGTGGTAGAGACAACATAGACTTAACAGCATTTGCAAGAAATTGTACATAACTCAAAGCCAACCTGATTTGTTCCCATGGCCCATAGTAAGAAAGTAGTTTCATTAAACTGCTAATATTGGTAGTGATTTCAAAATGTTGAATGCTTTAGTTCCCCACAATATTTTGGGAGGTGTCTCAAAATCTGTCTATACCCCTAAGAATATGCTACACATGTGAATACCATCTGTCCTGTGATCATGGACAAAGAAAAAAGTTGAGAACTGCTGATCTAGAATAACTTCCTATTAGCCACATACCCGCCATTTTGCAAGAGAGAAAAGTAAGGCCCAGGGAGGGTCCATGACTTGCCCAAAGCAGACTGATTGATTAATGTCAGAGGTGGACTCGAACCCACGTGGTTGTAGAATTTGGGCCATCCTGCTCACTGCCCCACCCTTCATTTTCCCATACTTCACTCACCAATTTTTCCAAACCTGTGCTCAAAATAAAGTTCAATATTATTAGAGGATGCTTGCTCCCACAGATAACGCTATGAGAGCCCTAGAATGCCTATGGTGAGGGAGGCATAGACATAATCAGTGAAGTGAGTTTGAAGGAGGAGATACCAGAGATGCTGATGTGCCAGACACTTGGTTGGAGCCTATTAGGTTGGTTTGCCACTCTCCCTAGAACCCCAAGTACACCAAGGCTACATGCTGGTGAACCAGGTCCCTACCACTGTGACAAACTACCAGGACTCTCCAGTAAATTGCAAACAGTCCCTAAGACCTGCCATGAGACAAGAGCCATGTCACTCTCTGTATCGGTTCATGCCCACAGCAGCCCTGAAAGATGACTATGATTGTCCCCATTTTACAGATGAGGAAAGTGAGGTTTGGCAAGGTTATAAAACTGGTTTGTGCAGCTATTGAGTAGCAGAGCTGAGAGCCAAACTAGAGTCTCTAAGTTCAGTGTTTTTCTATAACCTACACTTGCCTTATTTGCTTTATTTAATTCATTCACTTTTTTAAAATATGTACTGATCACCTGCTATGTGCCAAGCACTGTGCCAGATTTTGGGATACAATGGCAAAGAAGCCACAGTCCCCGACCTCAAGGAGCTTATGGAAGGAGAAGCATTGAGCTGCAGTCCCCTTACCCCCATCACAAAACAGAACAAACCTGTGATCAGACCAGCTAGTGCCCTTCCAGCCCCAGATCAAACCAGAGGGGGACAGACAGCAAAGTGAATATACTGAGTAAAGAACACCTGCAGAAAGAGACTCACTCCAAAAGCCAAAATCCCTGAAACTGCAGTTTTCCAGGAGAAATGACTTATCCAGAGGCCCCTGCAGCCCAGTTCTGCATTTCCTTTTCCAAAGAGCCAAAGGGCAGCAGGCATCAGCCGGTGCCCCCTACCAGCCTCTCCCTGCGCTGGGGATCTGGGCACAGAAGCAGCACACATTTGGGTGAAAGAACAGAGCTGGCAGTGTGGGATGTCCCCTCAGTGCCCACTTTGTGGCATCCTATGGAGGGGTTAGAAAAATAAAGACAGATGGCAGCTACACCTCCCCATCTGCCAGAACGCCAAGGTGGAGGAGATGTCCTAAAATGAACAAAGTGAGCTCATAGAAAGCTGGAGCCAGCACGGAGTTGCATAAGAAGTCCGTCCTGGAACAAGTTTTGTGATATCTGCTTGACTTTTTTTCTTCTCTTTTCTTTTTTATGATGACGCTCGCTCTGACTGAAGTAATGCAGCTCCATGCTTCTTTCTCAGTTCTCTAAACTCATGTAGATTCTCAATAATTACATATTAAATGAATGAAGGCAGGATTGGAAGATAGCTTTTAGCATCAGAAATTCAAGAAAGACTGTGATATAGAAGAACCTAGCTTCCTTGTTGTAACTCCACTCTATTCAGCCTAAGCTAAACCAGCTTCCTTCGGACTTTGCCCATCACTGTCCTCAAAAGTGATATAATGTGAGTGATATCGAAGGAGAAAAATTCCTGGAGACAGGACAACTGTGAGCTACAGCAGTAGAACCTTCGGGTAGCAGGGGCAGTGGTGGGAAGTGGGGGTGGTCTTAAACCATCAAATCACAAGGGCTACATAAGGGTAATGACAATCCCTCCCCAACAACCCAACAAGTAATTGCTGAAAGTGTGATAGATTTATAAAAATATCTAACATCAGCCACATAAATTGACATAGCTCCATTTGTTTTACAGTGGGCATAGGAATTGTACATTTTTCATCTAATGGGGAGAGCCAGGATCATCCAGGGTATCTTCCCCCAACCCTTGATTTTCTGCAATGCCAATGGTTCAGATGGCACCCAGGGCAAGCAAATTAGTGCTGCATTAACAGGAAGCTTGCAAAGGTGTGGGCAGGTCACAGACCCCAAGGAGCTCAGGCTGCTGAGGAAGTGTCCATCCAAATGACAGAAAACTAGCAGGGAAGAGAATGGACGGACTCCTGCTGCTCAGAGGAATCTCCCTCCAGCTTCCTCATTCAGAGGCGTGGGTGGCAAAGGGAATGATAAGGAATTTCCCAACACCCTTCACCCCATATGTTCCTGACCACCCCCACTTTGAGGGGACCCAGTATCTATACACACAGGGTAGTGTGGACCCAGTAAGCCCCACCCCTTCCCATTCTGTGTAAAGATAGCTCTCTGAGGGGGTTGAATGGGAGGCAAACAATATGGTTCCAACCGGCCAGCATGTCTATCATCTGGATATTTCTAGAAAATGAATGCCAGCTGTGAGTGGAGCACTAAACAAAGATAATCCTCCATGTGTGAGCTCTGGTTCTGGGGAACAGGCTTTCAGCAGAAGCCGTCTGCCTTCTTCCTTGAGAGGGGGGAAATCTGTCTGGCATCTGACAGGTGAAATCTGGCCTGCCAGGGTAATGAAATGATCGTGGCCAGCCCTGCACCCAAGTAATGAGGCTTATCTTGCATGATCAGGCACAATTCATTAGGACAGGGACAGGCTTCTGAGCCACCCCAAGGGGTGAGGCTGCTTCTGTGTTCGGAGCCTGGCCATGTGCTCCTCACGTGTGTGGAAGTGAATTGGTGGCACTGACTTCTCTCTCATTATTTTCCTGATGTAACCATCATAGCCCCAGGCTGGTTTCCAAATTTTCTTCTCCATAGTCCAGCACTCCCAGCCCCTCACCTCTCTATCTGCAAGACTGGTGTGAACTCTCCAGTGTGTGAAGAGGGGTACCAGGGTACTGGGGTGGACAGGCAAACCCAAGATGGTGGGGCAGACCTGACAATGGGTTCCAGAACACCTGGATGGTAAAGGGCTCAACCACTTTCAGCTCAGTCCATTCAGCTTTTGACTGACATCAGACAAGTCCTAGGAGATATTTCCCAAACCACTGGGGTCTTTTGACACTGTTTCCCAAAATGCTGGTACTACTGTTGTTGTAAGGTGCCGTGAATTGGCCCCAATTCATGGCGACCCAATGCCCAATGGGATCAGACCGTTCTGATCCACAGGGTTTTCGTACAGGTTATCACTGGCTGATTTTCAGAAGTAGATCTCCAGACTTTTTTTCCTAGTCTTTCTTAGTCTGGAAGCTCCACTGAAACCCGTTCAGCATCACAGCAACACACAAGCAAGCCTTCACAGTCAGGCAGGTGAGGTGTATTGGCCAGGAAACAAACCCAGGTCTCCCACATAGAAGGCACAAATTCTACCACTGAGTCACCACTGCCTTTGGTGGTACCAGAATTCTCCCAAAAATTGCCAAAGGAAAAGGGTGCACAGATCTAGAGGGTAGTGAGAATTTTTCAGGGACAGAAGCCAGAAAACATCTTCCATGGGACCCAGAAGAGAAACACCCACCACCTGCCACTTAGACCCTTCTCACCCTTGCCTGAACTACCAATTGGTTTTGTTATTACATAAAAGGAAACAACTGACAATGCTCATGGGGAAAGCAAGTAGCTGTACATGATGGAGCAAAAATGACTGGAGAGTGTTCCGTTAGCAACACTAACCCTTCCATTTTGACTTCACTTGGTAATAAGCCATTTTGATTGTGCTTGCTTAATTTGTGAGGTGCCCTTTCATAAGTACAAATTAGCACAGATCCTTTATGGTGAGAGGTGTGCCTGTAACCAAAATAATAAAAATAACAATGATTAAATAGAGAGTTTGGGAGACTTTGCTCCCTCTTAACTCATCTTGCCTTTCTATTAGCTCAGCATAATTGTTGTGTGCCAGAGTGCTGTTGTATCAGCAGCAAAAAAAATAAGTGAGCGTGCCAAGGCAATAGTTAATAGGCAGTGTGTGCTAGCTCTACCAATGACAGAAGACGGGATATAAACACCCAACTTGCCTTTCACTTCACCCCTGCTATCACACTCTAAACACACAGTAAACATAAGACCCAGTTACTCTGGGCAGGTGCTCCTGGTCTGAATAAATCCACCAGGCAGCTGAGATCCCCTTCACATACAGGGATCCTCCTGTGCATATGCAAATCAAGCCAAAAAATGCCTACCGACCTGAATTACTTATTGTTGCTATAACAGCAATATTACAAGTAGGTGGCTTTAAAGAACAGAAATTTATTTTCTCACCATTCTGGAGGCTAAATGTCCAAATTACGGTATCCCGTGCCTATGCCCTGGGCATTCCTTGGTTCCCCGTCTTGTAGACAATCCTCACATGGCATCTGTCTGTCTTCTGCTGTGTGTATGCGTTTCTGTGTCTAATCAGTTCTTTTTATAACTCAGAAGTGATTAGATTTAAAACCCACCCTACTCCTGTATGATCTAATTAACATAACAGAGAAACTCTATTTCAAACAGGATCACACCCACAGGTGTAGGGGCTAGGATTCCAACACATATTTTGGGGGGACACTAAAATACGGTGTTAATTCATAAAACCACCCTTCTGTGACCAGCAAGTAGGCAACCTATTCTCAAATCCTTACCAGTGCCTTTTATGCAGTTTAAGGGGATTTTTTATTTATAAAGTGGAATAATCATTTTCAAGTTAATGAAAAACATGAATTTAGCATTCAGTTCTGCATGCTGGCGTTTCATGAGAACACTTTTTTTTAAATAGGAAAATTCAAGCAACATATTATGTAGCGTAGAAGCGCTTACATCAACCACTACTGACTAACACCCTACTGCTACCCAGACACACCAGACTTGTTCTGCCTTTTCCTCTGTAATGTGTACATGTTGTTCATCACAGATTGGCTCATGTGACCCTCATGCCCCTGGTCAGCCTGGTCACCTCCTGGATAGTAGCCAATCTGGGAGGTGATTTTATTTCACTGAATTAAATCGTAGGAGAAAAGACAGAAAGCTACAATGTTTTCTGCCCCTCCTGCTAAAGCTTAGGTAGAGTCAACTTTTTTCCCCTTTCTTTAGAAAGGAGAGTAAAATGATTCATTGGTTTCTTAGGACTACTGTCGCAAAGTGCCACAAACTGGGTGACTTAAAACAACAGAAATTTATTGTCTCATAGTTCTGGAAGCTAGAAGCCAGGTGTCGGCAAGGCAATGCTCCCTCTGAAGATTCTAGGGAACATCCTTCTTTCCTCTTCCTAACTTCTGGTGGTTCCCAGAAATCCTTGGAGTTTCTTGGCTTTTGGCACCATAATTCCAATTTCTTCCTCCGTCTTCATGTGGCCTTCTTCCCTGCGTGTGTCTCTCTGTGTCCTTTTTTCTCCTTCTAAGGACACCAATCATTGGATTAAGGGACCACTCCAATTCCATATAATTAATTACATCTGCAAAGACCCTGTTTAGAAGTAGGGTCATATTCAGAGGTTCCAGGTAGACATGAATTTTGAAGAGACACAAGTCAACCCACTAGAGAACCATTACATAAATTTGGAATTTTAAGGGTGAAAAATAGAAAATAAGTCTATAGCATCATTCCATTTTGGCTGACAGTGAAAAGCAATGAGTAACAGGCAATTTAGAGCCTAAAGAGTAGATGAAAACCTTAGAAAATTCTGTATTCTACTCCCAGATTCATGTAGGTTAGTATCCTAACTCAAACTTGGTGCATTTCTGAAAGCGTATACAGAAGTCGACCGTGCAAAGTTGAGTAATAATAGACTTACATGTTAAAGCTAAAAATATTCTGGCACCCCTATTTACACCTTGCCTTTTAAACATAACCTTCAATGATGGATTCCGTATTTCATACATTCTCTACCTTGTTCTTTTCCAGATCAATTGAAAATAAATCAACCAGCTTAAATTCAATCAGTGTCTGATTGAAGCTGAATATTTGCCACTTTCATTCACTTATGGTTTCTGTCTTTATCTCAAATGCTTTGGTTTTAGACGTATGTTTCTTATCACTACTTTCAGCACTTTCTCTTTTGGTTTTTACTAACTTTTATGAAACAAGAAGTGAAAAATATAATTTAAAAATTCGAACATCCTCTAGAGAGTACAAGCACTACTACATAGAGAAAGACAGTGATGCAAAATGCAATTGTTTGTTGGCAGATAATGCTGCAGGGCAATAGCCTGGCATAGTCATCCATCAGGAAATGCATGAAGTACAAAGTCAGCGTAGGAAGGCGGGATAGAATGTGGACACACAATATAAAGTGATTTCTCAGTGAGATTCTGTTTCCCTAGCTGTGATATATATGAAAGATTTTAAAGACCAAGTTGCAGATCTCGAAGTGTAAAATAAACAGCAAGCAATATGAGACTCCTTTGCTTCCATCAGTCAGGATAGGTGAGGTTATGCTGCAGGAACAAACAACCCCTAAAATCTTAGTAGCATAAAGCAACAAAAGTTTACTTCTCACTCATACGGCATGTCCACCAGGCATCAGCATGGGCCTCTGCTCCAGAACTCAGAATGGTGAACCAAAACCAAAACCAGACCCGTTGCCATCGAGTTGATGCCAATTAATGGTGACCCCCTGTGTTACAGAGTAGAACTGCTCCATAGGGTTTTCTTGTACCTGATAGTGGAAGCCAGGAACATTTTGCATACAGCACCAATAACCACCAGGTTGTGTATGTGTGTGTGTGTGTGTGTGTGTGTGTGTGTGTGTGTGTGTGGTGTATGGCATATCTTGTATTTGATGCATCTATCCTTGTAATCTACTAAGATATTTTCTGGGTTTTTTGTTTTTTCTTCCCTCCCCCCACCAACAGGAAGATGGACCCAGTCCCAGGAATGACCACTCCTGAGAAATTGTACTCCAAGGTCATGGAGACTCTGAAGTATCTAAATTCCCACCTGCCTAATGGTAGCCATGTTATTTTCTATGGCTTAGCAGATGGAGCCTTTCTCTGGGATCATTTGCACAACAGATATCATCCTCTCGGTATCAGTTTGAAGCTTCTTTTACCTTTTAACAACATCACTGTCTGTAGAGTTCAGTGTATATAGAGCTTGACATATATATAGTTCAAATCATATAAAAATACATCCAAAATGCTATCCTAGTCCAAGGGTCCTAACTGATAGTCAGAAGCTCCCCCAGGTGCAGTATGTAAAGGTAAGTATCAGAAAGTGGGCAGAGTCAGGGCCAAAGCCAGAAAGGGCAGAAGTACTTAACGAAGAATTAGGACGAATTGAAAGGTAAATTTAAATCAGGAAATCTTTTTACCAAAAGTGAAATCTAGGATGAGCTGATGAAACCCAAACAGGGGGGAGAGAAAGCCTTGAGTCAAAGGGGGGGATTTCTCCAAGCCTCAATGGGAATAAAGGCAGTGCCCCCTGGTGGCCAGTTAGGATTCGCTCCCTGCTTCTACACCCTCTTGTTGAGAGGCCCTTGGCTCTGAAATGCTTTAAAGGTCCCCAGGAATTTCTAATGGCTTCTCTAGCATTCCAGCTGCTTTAAAAACATTGTAAAGGTGGTAGCAGTTCACATTATGGAGGCCTTCCATGCTGATCCTTAAAGCAACCCTCTGAGATAGACGTTTTAATTAATTAATGCCATTTTATAAGTGGCAAAAAGGAGACTCCGAAGTCAAGTAGCTTGCTGCATGTTCCGTTCATGTCCAATTTAACCGTTGGCTCCACCTGGGGACTCCTGAATGGTGCACAGCTCGTTGCATCTACAAGCTGGATGTAGCAGGGCTCTGCTTTCTGTGCTTCAGGGGAAAGTTTCTTTTCAAAAAAATAATTATTAGGTGTCCACTCTCTGCCAGGCACTGTTCTAGGCACGGGGTAAACAGCAGCAGACAAAATAGTCATAAATCCTCACCCACATAAGCCTTATAGTCTAGTGGGAGAAAGACCCCAAAAGTATGTCAGACCGCAGTGTCTCCAGAGCCTTTGTTACCAGGTTTGGTTTGTGAGTGCCTGTCTCTGCTCTCTTCTCCTTCCGAGGTCTTCTCTTTCCTTATGAAAGCCCTCATCCCCATCTGGCTCCTCTTCCCATGGGTTTCCTTGGCTTGCTGTGCAGGTTGGGCAGCTCTTTGCCCCTTGCCCAGAGCCTTTTCAACCAGACTTGCTGAAAGTAAATCAGCCCACGTGTTTGACCCTCTAGTGGCCTGAGTAGGCAGGGGGAACGTGAAGAAGAGAGTCCAGCCACCTAGCCGGGAACTGAGAGGTAGGAAAGCCCTGTAGTTGCCACCTGTGGACTGTGGGGCCCAGGAAAGCAGTGTGCATGGCTGGCATGGGGCACCAGCATCCTGCAGGCACCCTCAAAACCAGCATCTTCCCAGTAGCCTGGTACCCTGGGTCCCTTTGAACTATCTGTCCCCTTCTCTCTCCTGCTATTCTGCACCTCCCAGACAGAGCTTTCTCCTCATCCTCCAGGCTGACCAAAATATGCGTTCTACTGTGAGGCCCTATCCCAGAAGGTGGTTAGTGTTGGTTAGTGTTATGGGAAGAAAATTAAGTAGGGAAGGGGTTAGGGAGTGCTAGCTTCAGTCTTCACTGAGGAATGTCTACCAGGAGAAATCTAGGTACCCTCCCTCAGCCCCTTATTGATGATGGCTCCCGTGCCAGTCAATCATGAAGAAGATGCTGCCCATTCCCTGATGTTGCCATACCCATCTCCAACCCAATAAAAGCCTCCGGAGGCCCAGTTCATTCCTTATAAGAGTCAGGTGAGCAATTCAAAGGAGGAAGACCTGAAACTCAGCGCTCCTTAGGGGGTTTGAGTGGAGAGCAAAATGTCATAATTGAGACCATCAGAGAGTTGTCACTTGTGTATTTAACTTCTTTGTATGTTTTCAATCTCCCGTTGTCCTCTTCCTCCAGTCCCTGTTTAAACCAACCCCCTACCTCCTCCCTCAGTAAATTCCACTCCTCTCCACACGAGAGAAGAGTAGGGAACATTTAATCAGCTCTCAAAGGACTCTCTCTGGTCTCTCCATTACAGGGAAGATGGTGGATACACAAATTCCAGTCTCCCCACCGATGAGATTAAAGTCATTTTTCTCTTGAGTTACTTAACTGTACAATAAATGCCATTTTTATCTAAACAAAACACTGTCTACTCTCACATGAGGAAAGAATATTCCTCCTCTTAACAGAACTTTGACCCTCCTCCTTAGAAATGATAACACCATCGCACAGAGGAAAACTGGACACCTTCCTGGATGGACTTGCACACATAAAGGACTGGGAGTGGGCTGAGAATGTCTCTCTGAGCCATTGGACCTGAAAATTGCAGTTCCCCCAAAAGATTCTTTCAGATTCCTGAACTTCTCCCATGCTAAGAAATGCTTGGAGATAGGAAGTTAGGAGTGGGGAAGGTGTGCTCCCAATTTACTCAGTCACACCAAAGGGGACTTGATCTGGGTTTTCTGATTTCAAATCCCTGTTCTTTTAATGAACTCTAGTTATACTGCCTCCATAAATTCTTTCCCCTTATTACATACTGTGGTTAAATCAAGTGAATATGCCATGCAATTCACTTGATTTAACCACATGTGTAATAATGGGAGTCCCTTAATGGTGCAAATGATTATGCACTCATCTACTAACTGGAAAGTTCGTGGTTCTAGTCCACCCAGAGGTACCTAGGAAGAAAAGCCTGGTGTTCTACTTCCAAATGATCACAGCCTTGAACACCCTATGGAGTACAGTTCTACTTTGAAACACACTGGGTCACCATGAGTCAGAATCTACTCAATGGCAACTGGTTTGTTTTTTGGAGTTTTGTTTTTTTTATGTAATAATGACTCCATTGAAACTTTGGAAGGGAGTCGGTGGGGAGGGCAATTGGGTGACTCACTGTCCACTTTTGTGGATTCTCTATGCCCATGGTTCTCAACAGGGACAACTATGCCCACCCCTCCCAACCCCCCAGTTGTCACAATTAGGGGGAGGTGGTCCTCCTGACATCTAGCGGGTAGAGGCCAGGAATGTTGCTAAACATCCTACACTGCCCCCTCCCCAACCAGAATTATCCAGCCCCAAATTTCAATAGCGGCAAGGTTGGAAACTCTGCTCTGGACCTTGCCCCTTCCTCCTCACGTGGCCCCTTTCTAGCCACTAACCACCTAACCGAAAAAAGTCAGCAGTTCAAATCCACCAGCCCCTCCTTGGAAACCCTGTGGGGCAGTTCTACTCTGTATTGTGTCCCTGAGTCAGAACCAACTCCACAACACCTAACAACAACAGCAACAACCACGCATTAGCATTTCACAGCACAAGAGAAGAGGGAAAAGGTAGAATGAGTTTGCTCTTTATGAACAGCCCTAGTTTGGGGTGGGGAGGTGCAATTACGAAAAAAGTTGGAACCGTCTAAATTTTATTTAATGTTTTTAAGTTATTATTCATATCCTAAATTATCCCTGCTGCCTGGTTGCCATGGGAAGTAAATTATAAATTCCTCAGTGAGGCATCAGGGTCCTTCCTAAACAGACTGGTGGCATCTCATAACTCACATAGGTGAGAGGCTTGGAGAGAGGGCACATTTTCTCTTCACCTGCTCCCACTCCAAACCCAATCGTTGGGTCTTCCTTCCCACCAAAACCAGTGACCGATTCATTGAAAGGTCCTGCCTCTCAGGTGTGTCTGCATGTAGCAGGAGTCTGTTTTGTGGTGGTTCCCAGTTCTAACTATACATAAGACTTGTCAGGAGACCTTCTTAAAATATGAATGTCAAAGCTTCACTGCCCCCCTCGTCCCTACAGATTCTGATATAATTGATCTGAAGTGGGGCCGGGGCAAAAATATTTTTTGTGTAAGCTCCTCAGGTGATTCTCCTGTGCAGCCAGGGTTGATAATCACTGGTTCAAAGGGACTCAGCTCTAAGGAGCATAGTTTCAGGCATGAACCAGCAGGAAAGCAAGGTTAATGCTGGAACAGCCCCCGGGGCACTGGCTCTTGACTACTAACAAGGTTGGCGGTTTGAACCCACCCAGTGGCCACAGAAGAAAGGTCTGGCAATCTGCTTCTATAAAGATACAGTCAAGAAAACCCTATGAGGCAGCTCTACTCCATAACACACAGAGTTGCATGAGTTAGAAGGGACTCAACAACAAAGGGTTTTTTTGTTGTTGTTTTTGCCTATGTTAGGGAGTTGTTGTTAGATGCCATCGAGTTGATTTTTCACTAAAGCAAACCCATGTGTCAGAGTATAACTGCCCCATAGAGTTTTCTAGGCTGTAAACTTTATGGGAGCAGCTCGCCAGGTCTTTCTCCTGCGGAGCCACTGCGTGGGTTCAAACCACCAACCTTTTGGTTAGCAGCTGAGTACTTAACCGCTGCTTCATAATGTAGTTGTCATCTTATTCAATTGCCAGACACACGAATCTGATTCCTGGGACACTATGCTAAGGGTTGTGTGAAGCAAAAGTGGTTAGTTATTAACGTTTGCAGTCTGTTGCCTTTTCTCCCCAGAGTAAGGCAGGCAGGAACTCCACCTGAGAAATGATTAAATGCCACAGCATTTCACTGTCAGGATAATAAATGCCAGAACAAGAATGGGCTCCTGGTTCACTCCTGCCAGGGAGGAAGGAGTGTAGCCCTCCTAGCATCTCTCCACTTCAGCCAGGTTTGTGACTCACTAACCAGTCTGTGACCAGCTCCCAAGGACTGTGAAACCCCACAATCTCTACCAACCAAACCAAACCGAACCTGTTGCCATCAAGTCAATTTCAATTCACAGCTACCCTGTAGGCCAGAGTAGAGCTACTCCATAGGGTTTCCAAGGAGCAGCTGGTGGATTTGAACTGCTGACCTTTTGGTTAGCAGCCACAGCTCTTAACCACTCCACCACCAGCGCTCTGCAATCTCTACCAGTAACTAAAATTTCTGATGAGAGTTTATTTTCTTTGTAAGGAATTACCAGGTGGTAAGTCTTATATGGGAGCCCTGGTGGCACAGTGGTTAAGATTCGGCTGCTAACCAAAAGGTCAC